ATCAGTTGTTTGTATACACTAGCAATGAACAATCTGGAAACATAGTTAGGAAAAACAATTCCATTTACAATAGTAGCCAAAAGAACAAAATAGCTAGGAATAAATTTAACCAAGGAAACAAAACATTAGAAGTATTTAAAACTGCTAAAAATTGCAAACCATTGTTGAAGGAAATTAAACAAGACATAAATAAATGGAAATGCATTCTGTGCTCATGGATTGAAATACAGTATTGTTAAGATGGCAATATTAACCAAAGTAATCTGCAGATTCGATGCAATTCCTATCAAACGCCCAATGGTCTTTTCACTTTTTGAAAAGCTGATCCTTAATTTTTTTTTTTTGACACACCATCTCAAAAACAAGTCTCAGTGTCGCCCAGGCTGGAGTGCAGTGGCATGATCCCTAAATTCTTTACTTTCATAAAATATTCAAAAGCAACTTCATGCAATTCCCAGAGTTATATTTTCATTTTAATACAGACAACATTCTGAAGTTCAAAGAATTTTTGGCAGTACAGGTGCAGTGGCTCACGCTTGTAATCCCAACACTTTGGGAGGCTGAGGCAGGCAGGTCACCTGAGGTCAGGAGTTTGAGACCAGCCTGGCCAACATGGTGAAACCCCATCTCTACTAAAAATACAAAAATACAAAATACAAAACTTAAAATACAAAAATTAGCCGGGCGTGGTAGTGCGCGCCTGTAGTCCCAGCTACTCAGAGGCTGAGGCAGGAGAATGTGGTGAACCTGGGAGGCGGAGCTTGCAGTGAGCCAAGATCGCATCACTGTACTCCAGCCTGGGCGACAGAGAGAGACCCTATCTCAAACAAAACAAAACAAAACAAAACAAAAAACAACAAAAAAACAACAACTGGGAGGTGGAGGTTGCAGTGAGCTGAGCTCACGCCACTGCACTCTAGCCTGGGCAACAGAGAGAGACTCTGTCTCAAAAAAAAAAAAAAAAAAAAGGAAAAATAGAATCAACAAAACTGAAAGTTGATTCTTTGAAGAGGCTAACAAAATTGACTTACCTTTACCTATAAAGCTAAAGATGATTAAGCTATATTTAGAAAAAGAAAACATAAATAACTATCAGAAATGAACACAGGGACACTACCACTAACCTTACAGAAATAAATGCCAGTGCATTAGATAAACTGGATGAAATGGACAAATTCCCTAGAAACACTCAATTACCACAAGTGACTCAAGAAAAAATAGAAAATTTGAACAGATCTACAACAAGCAGTGATTGAATCAGCGATAAAAAAACCTCCAACAAAGACAAGACTAGCACCACATGCCTTCACTGTTGAATTCCACAAAACCTTTAAATAATTAATACCAAAATCTTTCTCAAACTCTTCCAGTAAACATCAGAGGAAGGAAAACTTTCTAACCCATTTTATGAAGCCAGCACTACCCTGATACCAAAGTCAAAGGCACCACAAGAAAACTAGAGACTAATCTCTTCTTGATGCAAAAATCCTCAACAAAATATTAGCAAAGTAAAATCAACAAATTATTATAAAGGATTATTCACTATGGCCAGGTAGAATTCATCCCAGCAATGAAAGTGTGGTTCAATATACAAATATTAATCAATATATGACATTAATAGACTAAAGGAGAAAAACCACAGGTTCATTTTGATGCCAAAAAAAAAAATTGGCAAAATTCACCATTTCATAATAAAAACACTTGCCAAACTTAGAAGGTACTTCTTCAACATGATAAAGGGTATTTATGAAAACTCACAGCTGGCCGGGCACAGTGGCTCATGCCTGTAATCCCAGCATTTCGGCAGGCCGAGGCGGGTGGATCACGAGATTAGGAGATCAAGACCATCCTGGCTAACACGGTGAAACTCCATCTCTACTAAAAATACAAAAAATTAGCCCACGTGGTGGCGCGTGCCTGTATCCAAACTACTCCAGAGGCTGAGGCAGGAGAATCACTTGAACCCGGGAGGCAGAGGTTGCAGTGAGCCAAGATCACTGCACTCCAGCCTGGGTGACACAGCAAGACTCCATCTAAAAAAAAAAAAAAAAAAGGAAAACAGAAAACCCACAGCTAACATCACACTCAATGGTGAGAGATGAAAACTTTCTCCCTAAGATCGGGAACAAGAGAAGGATGCCCACTTTTACCACTGCTGCTCAGCACTGTGCTGAATGTTCTAGCCACAACAATTAGGTAAGAAAAAAGAAAAGGTAGTCAAATTGGAAAAGAAATAAAACTATCTCTATGCACAGATGACATCATCCTATATATAGAAAATCCCAAAGAATACACAAAATAAGTACTAAAGCTATTAAATTAATTCAGCAAAGTTGCAGGAGAAAAGACCAACACACAAAATCAGTTGTTTGTATACACTAGCAATGAACAATCTGGAAACATAGTTAGGAAAAACAATTCCATTTACAATAGTAGCCAAAAGAACAAAATAGCTAGGAATAAATTTAACCAAGGAAACAAAACATTAGAAGTATTTAAAACTGCTAAAAATTGCAAACCATTGTTGAAGGAAATTAAACAAGACATAAATAAATGGAAATGCATTCTGTGCTCATGGATTGAAATACAGTATTGTTAAGATGGCAATATTAACCAAAGTAATCTGCAGATTCGATGCAATTCCTATCAAACGCCCAATGGTCTTTTCACTTTTTGAAAAGCTGATCCTTAATTTTTTTTTTTTGACACACCATCTCAAAAACAAGTCTCAGTGTCGCCCAGGCTGGAGTGCAGTGGCATGATCCCTAAATTCTTTACTTTCATAAAATATTCAAAAGCAACTTCATGCAATTCCCAGAGTTATATTTTCATTTTAATACAGACAACATTCTGAAGTTCAAAGAATTTTTGGCAGTACAGGTGCAGTGGCTCACGCTTGTAATCCCAACACTTTGGGAGGCTGAGGCAGGCAGGTCACCTGAGGTCAGGAGTTTGAGACCAGCCTGGCCAACATGGTGAAACCCCATCTCTACTAAAAATACAAAAATACAAAATACAAAACTTAAAATACAAAAATTAGCCGGGCGTGGTAGTGCGCGCCAGTAGTCCTGGCTACTCGGGAGGCTGAGGCGGGAGAATCATTTGAACCCGGGAGGTGCAGCCTGGGCAACTGTGAATCTCAAAAAAAAAAAAAAAAAAGTTACTGGTCATTAGTTAATAAACAGTGCTTCAAAAATTCTCGTCAGTGAAGTAATTTTTATTTATTTTTTTGAGACAGAGTCTTGCTCTGTCGCCCAGGCTGGAGTACAGTGGCACCATCTGAGCTCACTGCAGGGTCCGCCTCCCTGGTTCATGCCATTCTCCCGCCTCCTGAGTAGCTGGGACTACAGGCGACTGCCACCACTAATTGGACTGCCTGGCTAATTTTGTTTTTCTATTTTTAGTAGAGACAAGGTTTCACCGTGTTAGCCAGGATGGTCTTGATCTCCTGACCTCGTGATCTGCCCGCCTCAGCCTCCCAAAGTGCTGGGATTACAGGTGTGAGCCACAGCACCCAGCCAATTTTTATTTCTTATAGAAGTAGTTTTTAAAAGTTGAATTCTTTACTGAATTATTCCTATGGCTTTGTTCTGTTGACTATCATGTGCCAAACTATGAGGTGCTGACAGATAGTGATTAGGACACAGTACTTGTCCTAAAGGAGTGTATTATATACTTGGGTTTTTAGTCTGACAAAGTGCTAAAATTGATATTCATAAGCATGGGATCATTCAAGTCTTCACTAAGCTTAAATCTGAAACTTTCTGGATTATTTTGGGGTTGAAAAACAAATGTTTCATATACAACCTGCATATCAAAATGTTTATAATGTAAATATTACCACTCATACAATATCATTCATATTTCCTTGTAATTGTAATCAGTGTTAAGTGTTGTTTCTTGGTTTCCAAATCAAATATTCTTATTCAGCAAGAATCACGAGTTGAAGTTCAAGCCCCAGTGATGATTCAGATGTGCAGTTCCTACATTGTGTAATGACCATTTAACATCTAGTATAATTTTATGAATGTTTTCTGAATGCTGTACACAGCAAGAGTTTCTTCTTACTGCACTCTCGTGAGCAATGATGAACTTTTTGAGCACACAGCTTTGAGACTAGACCCACACACACAACTTGTAACAATCAATTTTTTTTTTTTGTTTTGGAGATGGAGTTTCACTCTTGTTGCCCAGGCTGGAGTGCAATGGCACGATCTTGGCTCACCGCAACCTCTGCCTCCTGGGTTCAAGCAATTCTCCTGCTTCGGTCTCCTGAGTAGCTGGGATTACAGGCATGGGCCACCACACCTGGCTAATTTTGTATTTTTAGTGGAGACGGGGTTTCTCCATGTTGGTCAGGCTGGTCTCGAACTCCCGAACTCAGGTGATCCACCCGCCTCAGCCTCCCAAAGTGCTAGAATTACAGGTGTGAGCCACCACACCTGGCCTAACAATCAACTTTTATTGATATGAAAAGTAGTCATTAAAAAAACAGGGTTTCCTACAATGTAGGTGATCCATTTAATGAATGTAGTCCAAATTATCAGGACTCAAGCAAGAATTATAGCGAATTAGTTGTTACAGATAACAATATATTATCAACTCTACTCCAAAGTGGGCTTACTTTGGCCATTTTTGTGCAAAAATATTTACTAGATCATGTGTACCAGATTGTTCACATACACGATCACTTATTTTTCTTTACAAATGAAATATGGTTCAATAGGTGTCACTTGTTGAGAAGATAAATTTGTTATTTTATTTTTAAAAATAGACATGGGATCTCACTATGTTGCCCTCTTGGTCTTTAACTCCTGGGCTCAAGGAGTTCAAGCAATCTTCCTGCCTTGGCCTCCCAGTGTGCCTGGACATTAATGTTTATTTTAAATGCCATAACGCATTTAACCCGCATTTATCAGAACAAACTAGGCAAGTAGTATAATGAACTATTTTGTAAGATGAATATTTTGCTCTTTAAACTGCTTAAAAGAGATACACACTACTTTTGGAAAAAAACTTTATTAAACACTCAAGAGTATACTTCTCAAAATCACAGAAGAGTTTCCAAATACAAGTGTTAGAAGGAGAAAACAACAACAAAAAGCTAAAAGCCAATCAGAAACAGTTCGGGTGTGCAGAGGACTGCAGGGGGGACAGGGACTGCACATGGGAAGGAGCCACTTTTGTATTCCATAATTTGATCTTGTGCTAGAATGCATGCTTTTTTTTCCTCCAAATGAGGAATTCATTTCAAATAGGAATTTCTTTTATTCTCCTGGAACTAAAATGCTTAGTACTATCCCTAACATCAACCATGGGATTTTTGAAGTTATCCCAAATTTGCAATGCAAAAAGCACTTTTACGTATCTTCCAGTTGTAGATCGGAATAGCAAAAGTGAATGCTATGACCAAAATTTTTACCCTCCTAAATAAAGACGTTCCCTTCTAGAGAGCAAATCTACCGTAAAATGTCAAAACTAAAAGAGAATAAAATGAAAGGAAAAAACCTAGAAAAATATCCTAAAATATCAAATGCAGTCATTTCTAAATATAAGCCATAATTAGAGCTTTACCTATTGTTCTTATTGTTCCTATGCTGCTTCTACAATGTTACATCAACTATACTTAGCTTTACTCTCCCAAAATCTTGGCCATGAAGCCTTCTGAGTGTGCTTTCCAATGTGCCAGAACCAGAGGGCATTCCAAGGTTTCTCACATTTCCTGTTTATGGAGACAGCTGTTTCACTAACTTGCAGCACTTGTAAATGCTTTGAAAGCTGATCACATACTATATTCTTGACTTAATACTTTGGTAAGCCTGGATATGTATCTTTCTATAAACCTCACCTAACCTTTGATGTTACTATAACCTTATCTTTGACTTAACCCATATACATTTACTCATAATCTTGATTTAAACTCATGCTATAAAACTGTAGCACGAAAGGGATTTCTCTTTAGTGCTTCAGGAAAATCAGCTCATGGATTACTGCCAACCAAAGTATAGTAGATTCTTTAAACAATGTAACACCTTCTATCTGCAGACTCCCACAGACCTCACATCCAGGGCTCCCATCCTTCCCAGGTTCTGCCAAGGATGTTGGGGTCTGTTGCCTGGTCAATCAAGCACTTCACTTGAGTTTCTTCTGAAAGCCCACCCTCTGGTTCTCGGGCACGAATGTTGTGATCTTTGCTTCCTCGTGCCACAGCCACATAGTCTCTGAAAGCAGGCGCCTTCTCGTGACCCAGTAGCAGCTCATCACTGGAAAAAGAACAAACAGAAAACACAAAGCATGTGTTATTTTCCTTTGTTTCCTGCATTCCTAGTGATCCTATCCAAACACATTCCCCATGTCATCACTCACAGAGTCTTTTCTGTGGCTTATAACCTTTCAGTCAAAGACTGGATCTGTAGGAAAACAGAACAAGAATTATGCTGCTCAAGTTTTTGTGTGAACGTAAGCCTTCACTTCTCCTGAATGAATTCCTAGGATTCACCTAGGAGTGGCATTGCTGGGTTCACAATGATAACTCTATGTTTAACTTTGTGAAGAACTGCCACTTTCCCACAGCAGATGCACCCTTTCCCACTCCCACCAGCAGAGTATGAGGAGTCCACCTTCTCTGCATCCTCAACATTTGTTAGATTCCTTTTTTTTTAATTAAAAAAAAAAAGAAAGTTTTAAAAATTTTTGGTAGAGACAGGGTGTTGCTATATTGCCCAGGCTAGACTTGAACTCCTGGGATCTAGTTATCCTCCTGCCTTGGCCTCCCAAAGTGCTGGGATTACAGGTGTGAGCCACTGCATTAGCCCCATTTTAAAATTATAGCCATCTGGCAAGGCGTGGTGGCTCACCCGAGGTCAGGAGTTCAAGACCAGCCTGGCCAACATGGCAAAACCCCATTTCTACTAAAAATACAAAAATTACCAGGTGTGGTAGCATGCACCTGTAATTCCAGTTACTCAGGAGGCTGGGACAGGAGGATTACTTGAACCCAGGAGGTGGAGGTTGCAGTGAGCCTGGGTGACAGAGCAAGACTTTGTCTCAAAAATTAATTAATTAAACAATAGCCATCTTAGCAGGTGTGAGGTAGTATCTCACTTGGATTTCCCTGATGACCAGTGATGCTGAGCATTTTTTCATGCGCTTATTGGCCATTTGTATATTTTCATTAGAGAAATGTTAGTTCAAGTCTTTTGACCTTTTTTTTTTGAGACAGGGTCTTGCTCTGTCACCCAGGCCGGAGTGCAATGGCGCGATCTCGGCTCACTGCAACCTCTGCCTCCTGGGTTCAAGTGATCCTCCTGCCTCAGCCTCCCTAGTAGCTGAGATTACAGGCGTGAGCCACTGAGCCCAGCCCTGACCATTTTTAATTGTCTATCTACTATTAGGCTCTAAAAGTTTTAAAATGTATTCTAGATACAAGTCCCTTATCAGATATATGACTTGCAAATATTTTATCCCATTCTAAAGGCTGAAACACTTTCTTGATAGCACTCTGTGAAGCACAAAATTGTTTAATTTTGATGAAGTCCAATGTATGTATTTGTTTCTTCCTTGTGCTTTCAGTGTCATACCTAAAAAATGGCAAGTATCACAACAAAATCCAAGGTCAGGATGATTTACTCCTATTCCTACTTTTTTTTTTTTTTTTAAGACAGAGTCTCGCTTTGTCACCCAGGCTGGAGTACAGTGGCGCCATCTTGGCTCACTGCAACCTCTACCTCCCGGGGTTCAAGTCATTCTCCTGCCTCAGCCTTCCTAATAGCTGGGATTACAGGTGCGCATCACCATGCCCAGCTAATTTTTGTATTTTCAGTAGAGACGGGGTTTCACCTTGATGGCCAGGGTGGTCTCGAACTCCTGACCTCAAGTGATCCACTCGCCTTGGCCTCCCAAAGTGTTGGAATTAGAGGCGTAAGTCACCACGCCCAGCTGATTTACTCCTACTACTAAGTGTTTTATAGTTTTGACTCTTGCATTTAGCTCTTTGATCCATTCTGAATTAATTTTTCCACATGGTGTGAAACAGGGACCTAACTTCATTCTTTTGCCAGTGCTATTTGTTGGAAAGGTCACTGAATGGTCTTGGCACCCTTGTCAAAAATAAGTTGACCATAGACTGCCACTATTACTTAATTCTAAAGTCAAACTTTTTTCCTTCCTGTGAATCATCTCCATAAATTTATATTTGCTTTAGACCTCAACAAGAAAAAATTTTAAAGCTAACCTAAAAGCCAACTCAAATTGGAGTCTCATCTAACAAGTCCACACCGTGCTTTTCATACCTAGGTACTATGTCCATCAGGGTCAAATGCCCTAAAAAGGACAAAAGCAAATTTAAAACCTGAGTCTCCTCATGCATATAACAATATTCTGGCCTAAGAGCACACCTTCTGTTTCTCCAATTGGCACCACTGTTCCAGGGACTGAGTGTAAGCCTGAAGACATACGTCACAGTTGCAGGCCTCGCCCTGGCTTTCGGGAAGTCAGCCTCTCTAAGCCCTGCTTTCCTCCTCAGTGAAAGCAGAGAAGTCATGCTAACAGAATATCAAGTGCTCAGCACTTTGTACATATGTTGGTTCCTCGAGAAACAGTAGCATGTTGGTAGTCCGTTAGTTTTTTCCACATATAAAAATCTTACCAAGTAATGACTGCTGGATTGGCACCTGCTAACTTTCTCTTAGCGTAACATATTTTCTGTCGGGGATACCAATTTTTTTCAGCAACATTTATTTCTTGGATCCATGATCCTCCTTTTTTCAGCATTTTCTGTTCAAAATTCTAAAAGAAAAGAATATGATTTTCCCGGCTGATTATAATGGTACATACAATCATGTCCAAACAGATTAAATCCAGTAATGATCTTAAAGTAAACAAACATCTATAACCAGGAGCAGCCTTGCTTTATTGTCTACAGCTACAAAGCTGTTCATACAGACTCCATGGCGCACACATCACGAGACGAAGGGCCTCAGCAGGCCCCTTATTTCTCCAAATAAAGGTTTTGCCTCTTAACTTTTTTTTTTTTTTTTTTGAGGCAGAGTTTCACTCTTGTCGCGCAGGCTGGAGTGCAGTGGCGTGATCTTGGCTCACTGCAACCTCTGCCTCCCAGTTTCAAGCCATTCTCCTGCCTTAGCCTCCCAAGGAACGGGGATTATAGGCGTGCGTTACCACACCAAGCTAATTTCTGTATTTTTAGTAGAGACAGGGTTTCACCATGTTGGCCAGGCTGGTCTCCAACTCCTGACCTCAGGTGATCCTCCCGTCTCTGCCTCCCCAAGTTTTGGGATTACAGGCGTGAACCACTGGGCCTGGCCTCTGGTTTTCAAGCCAGACAATCCTAAATACTAATTTTGAGAAATGCTGTACAAAATAATGTAAATATTTTCATCAACATGACTCAATGCACTTCCATCATACACGGGAGATACCAGCTCGATCACAGGGACACTGTCACAAAAGTGAAAAGTGCACATGAAACAAAACCTACTTTCCAGTCAAAGGAAGGCTCCTTGACAAACACATCCATGGTGTTGGTGAGCAGGCCAGGGTCTGAGCGGAAGGCCCGGAGCGCGTGTACCATGACGCTGTACATAAGGCCCATTTCTTTCATTGGTAACATCAGATTGATAAACTGGCGAGTTAGCCGAAAAGGCATCAACTCAGGGACTGGCAGAAACTAAACAAGAAAAAAAGGCAAGCAGCAGAATATGTAAGCCGGAACTCTCAAAGTACCAAGCACAAACGGCAGCAACCTCTCATAGTTACTGTTCACATTTAGTAACAATATAACTCTGCTTCCCTTGAAATCAGCTACACAGATGTGAGTTCCTACGCTCAGGAGTAACCATCTTAGCTTGCATTATCCCTCAGCGCAAAACCCACGTGCGCAGGATACAGGCCGCAGATATTGAGAAGGATGGATCCAAACATTCAGAGGTTAACCAGAGAAAAGATCTGTATCACATTTTTTACCAGACATTTTTATTATGGGGCTTCCTAAAACTTCCTTAGAGTCTTCCTTTGACCTGCGAACACATTTGATTCCCGGTTCTGATGATATCATTGATCACCATGACTTCTGTGACCTGACTGAACAAGGCTGAACGAAGTGATTATCCCTTTCTGCAATCAATGACCATGACAAAACGAACCTAATACGTTGTTTTTCCTTAAAAACTGTCTATTTCTGGAGGGTGTTGAAAGTCCTATGATGACTCTCGCCTCGCCCAGGATCATGACAGCACAGCAAGCGCACCTGTGTAGCGGATCCAAATGCATGCCCAAAGTCGATCCCGATCATGCCGCCAGTCTCCATGGCCACCATAAAGTTGTTCAGATGTCTGTCTCCAATCCCGAGGATCCAGTGGCTGATGCATATCAGAGCATGAGAGCTGGCAAAGTGGGAGCGGAGTGCCAGGAAAGCCTCGGGGCTTGTACTCATCCTCACAAAGGCCCGCCTGCAAGAGAGACACAGCTGTGCGGCTGCTGTGATCCTGCTAAGGGTGAGGGCAGAAGGGTACTTACTTTAAGAGATCGGCAGGCACTTTACTTTCTCGTTTTCTAAAAGAGGTGATTGTTTCAGTACGATTAGCTCCCCTATGATTTAATAATAGAAACATCTAATTAGAAAAAATTCTCTGACTTAAAATTTAAATTTTAAAACTTTTTGTTTATACTGAGACTCAAATATCAAATAATCTTGATGATCTCTCTGAGGCAAAGCTTTCTAAGAATCAAAAGAAAACATGCAATTCGCAGAAGAACAAACTAACTAATACAAAGGAAAATCAAAACCAAACTTACTTATACATTAGCATGTAAGCTCCAACATCATGTTTTCCTGACATTTTTGTCAGCCAATCTCTATATTCACACAGCGGTGCCTTGGGATCACTAGTGAGCGAGAAAAGGGGAATCGGAATTAGGAAGATTTTAGCATTATGTGATTTCAAAGACAAAGATCACCAAGAATTCACTGAAAAATAGCAAAGCAGCAGGAAAAAATATGACTTTTAACCATATTCAATATTAATACTGAACCCACATTACTCTGGATCTTGAATTTCAATATACCATTATTCATGCTTAACTACTCCTAAAGAAATCCAAGCTATTGCCTATGAAAAATTTAGGTACAAAACCATTAAATACAATAAATTTCCCACTGACATAGAGAGGAATAAGATGAACTAAACATAACTGTTTATTAACCAGCCATGCAAGTCTGCAACTTTGACCTAGAAAGAACCATAACAAGAGGGCGACAGCACCACAGGGAGCCGCTGGAAGCCTCGGGCCATGTCACTACCACAGCCAAAAAGCCCACACAGTTTTGCTAAAGATGGATTATGTCTGTTTTTATCCTTATTTAGACCACTTCCACTTCTTTTTCTTTTTTTTTTTTTTTTGAGATGAAGTCTCGCTCTGTCGCCAGGCGAGTGCAGTGGTGCGATCTCGGCCCACTGTAACCTCCGCCTCCTGGATTCAAGCGATTCTCCTGCCTCAGCTTCCTGACTAGATGGGATTACAGACAAATGCCACCACGTTCAGCTAATTTTTGTATTTTTAGTAGAGACGGGTTTTCACCATGTTGGCCAGGCTGGTCTTGAATGCCTGACCTCGTGATCTGCCTGCCTCAGCCTCCCAAGTGCTGGAATTACAGGCGTGAGCCACCACGCCCGGTCACTTTTTCTTTCTTTTGAGACTCTGTCGCCCAGGCTGGAGTGCAGCGGTGCAATCTCAGCTTGCTGCAACCTCCACCTCCTGGGTTCAAGCAATTCTCATGCCTCAGCCTCCTAAGTGGCTGGGATTACAGGCGCCCGCCACTACGCCCGGCTAATTTTTGTATTTTCAGTAGAGACAGGGTTTCGCCATCTTGACCAGACTGGTCTTGAGTTCCTGACGTCAGGCGATCCGCCCACCTCGGCCTCCCAAAGTGCTGGGATTACAGGCGTAAGCTGCTGCGCCTGGCCAGTGCCACATCTTTCTTCATATTTCCAACACGTAGATATACACACAATCCATAGTAAATATGAGAAAATATTTTTTCTTTTTCTTCCAATAACCTTCTGCACTCCTATGAGAAAGTATTTTTGTAAATGACAATGGATGCTTAAGTGAACTTGAAAAGCTGTTTTCAGTGTTTCCTAGGAAAAAGGCAGCACCTGGGCAGTGGGAAACAATGTTATATACATATGTTCAGGTACTTTTGTAAGGAAAGCTTTAACAAGTTTTCCCAATAAAATCTAAAGACAGAACAGTTTCATGTGTGACTTAGCAATTCAATCACTTCAGGTGAAATAAATCTTTTCTAAGTTGCTACTAAAGTTAACTTTAAAAGTAGTCCCCTCCATCTTAAAATTCTCTCCTCCTAGTTTAAAGTGAGATGAAAATTCTTAGGTTATAAAACCGTAGGCTGGGCGCAGTAGCTCAGGCCTGTAAACCCAGTACTTTAGGAGGCCAAGGAGGGCAGATCATGAGGTCAAGTGATCAAGATCATCCTGGCCAACATGGTGAAAACCCATCTCTACTAAATACAAAAATTAGCTGGGCATGGTGGCGCACGCCTGTAATCCCAGCTACTCAGGAGGCTGAGGCAGGAGAACTGCTGGAACCTGGGAGGCGGAGATTGCAGTAAGCCGAGGTCATGCCACCGCACTCCAGTCTGGCGACAAAGAGAGACACTGTCTCAAAAAAACAAAACACTGTAACATGCTGAATTAAGAAAAAAAATAGCAAGGATTTTAATAATGGGTACTGGAAGTGCCCTGTAAAAAGGCAGTTGGAAATTATTTACATAATTCCATTATGTAAGGTGCTTTCAATTCTCCTGGTACCTATATCAACCCTGTGTGGTTCCACGCTACCATCCCGTCCCACAAATGCAGACAGGTACCACAGGAAAGGCGACACTTGCTTGGCACCTGCATTGTCAGGCAGAGGCTCAGTGCCAGGGCCAGATCTGGAATTTGAGAGACTCCAGGAAGCATGCTCATCAGTTGCCCCGTATTCCAGGGAAAGTAGAAACAATTCTAAGCAAAGGACTCAAATGTCTGGAACTAAAAGTTGGTGAACACTGCCCTGCAGAGTAATTATCACCTGGGAATATGAGTTTGATAAGAATATGTTTGATTTTTTCAGAAATCTTTCCTGACTGAAGGGAACACTGCTCCTATTTAAAAACTTTTTAGGAAAGAATCAGAGGACATCAAAGAGAAAGAGGCCCTGAAGCTGTTCCTTCATCCTACAGCTTCGTCACCCAAACCTGTCAACTTTGGTTGTCAAAATCTGTCAACCCTCAAAATGTTTCTCACATTGTCCTTATTTTTTTTTACAAAAACAAAAAGGAAATAAAAAAAAAAACTTGTGGTTAAAATACACATGTTAATTGTAGAAAACTTGGAAAATAGAGAAAAGGATAAAGAAAAATAAAAAAGCATCCATATCATGACTAGTAATCCCAGCTACTCCACTTTACAGGCTAAGTGACACAGGACAGGTTACTTGACCTTTCTGGGCCTCAGCTTCCTCATCTGTACAGTAGCGATAATAATACTCACTTACCTTGTAGGTTGTTGGTGAGAAGTAAATTGGTTTATACACGTTAAAAATTGAGAACAGTGCCTATCCCACAGAAAATGTTTTACTACATGTTATCTGCTAATTTTATTATTATTTCCTTCAACAATTTTTCTTCCCCCCACCCAAAGTTAACATATATTTTGTATTATGGTAAAATATCTGCAACTACTGGTTAGCAGCCAGCACTCCATTTGGTTTATTGACCCAGCCAGCAGACTGCGGGGCAGGCAGTGTGGGCTCTCGAGCGCGCCTGTCACGGCCCCGACCTGCCACTGGAGAAGTGAGGGGAGGCGACTGCTGGGGGAGCAGGGCGTGTGGCCGCCCTTACCTCAGGTAAGCCGCCTTCTCCTCTTGGGACATGGTGTTCAAAAGAAGGTCCTTCAAGGTAACAGTATTTTCAAGCCACTCAATTAATCCTAACCTGAAAGGGAGAATAAAAGGTTAACGAGTAAACCCAAACTGCTCTTTCTTCACTAGAAAAACAGTCCCGTGGACGCCAAGCAATGTGCAGCAGCCTACTGGCTGGGAGCAGCCTGGCAGTTACCTGGAAGTCATGGGCACCACGCTGTAGGTCCTCAGCTGCAGGGCCCTCTGGCTGCAGGCGGAGTCTTGGGCCAGGATCCCATTCATGACCTGGAAGAGCTGCTCCACACGCTGGTCCTGCCGCAGGTCCTCGCCACCCTTCACCAGGAAAGGGTGCTCCCTCTCATTGTGGCCACGGATGATGATGCGCTTGGGCCTTCGCATAGACGCCATGACTGTCACCTTCAAAAATCAGAATGTCACCTCAGGGCACAGGCTAGTGACGTGTCAAACTCAGAAGGAAAAGCCACACTGGCTGTGAGCATTCCTCCGCGGGGCTGCCCTCTGAAGACAGTGTCAAAGAAGAGCAGAGCGTTCAGGCCAGCAACGAATTCCTGCTACCTGCTTATGCCTGACTACTGTGCCTGCAGAAATGTTGTATTCCTGGTTATAAATACTTGCTTATGAATGTGGATACCCTTAGCAAGCAGCAACAGCCAACATGCAAACTTTCTACAGTGGTAAGCTAATGCTACACATATTTTATAGTGGATACTCACACACAGCTTACTCTTTGAGTTTATGGTATCTTAAATAGAATTGTTGCTCAAACACTGGAGACATTATATTAAGAAACTCAGGGCCGGGAGTGGTGGCTCATGCCTGCAATCTCAGCACTTTGGGAGGATGGGGCGGGTAGATCACCTGAGGTCAGGAGTTCGAGACCAGTCTGGTCAACATGGTGAAACCCTGTCTCTACTAAAAATACAAAAATTAGCCAGTTGTGGTGGCGCACACTTGTACCCCAGCTACTAGGGAGGCTGAGACATGGAGAATCGCCTGAACCCAGGGTGTGGAGGTTGCAATGAGCTGAGAATGCACCACTGCACTCTAGCCTGGGTGACAGAGTGAGACTCTTGTCTCAAACAAAGAAGAAAAAAAAAGGCCAGGCGCACTGTTTCACACCTGTAATCCCAGCACTTTGGGGAGGCAGAGGTGGATGGATCACGAGGTCAGGAGTTCAAGACCAGCCTGGTCAACATGGTGAAACCCTGTCTCTACTAAAAACTCAAAAAACAGCTGGGCGTGATGGCACACGCCTGTAATCCCAGCTACTTGGGAGGCTGAGGCAGGAGAATCATTTGAACCCGGGAGGCAGAGGTTGCAGTGAGCCGAGATTGCACCATTACACTCCAGCCCAAGCAACACGGCAAGACTCCATCTCAGTAAATACGTTAAACTCGATATATCTGCGATCAACATGGGCTGTTGTCTCTTATTTACCAAAGGCAAACAGATCATTCTCGTATCTGAAGAACGTTCATCAGGACAGGGACTGGGTCACACACCCTCACACCTACCCGCTCATCAAACCCGGCGATTCGCACGTGGTACTCTGGCAACGGCTTTCCCCTACCGTCATATTGACCTAAAACAAACCAGAGCCTTGCTTAGGAACAGCTTGTTAGACAACTGCCTGTATTTTAAAACATGTCTCTTGATCTACTTTTTAAAAAGCCAATCTAACATAAAACTTTTTACTGAAAAGTTTTCATTTAAAGGAAACTGACTTTTAAAAAATGTTATTTCTCAGCCAGGCACAGCGGCTTACTCCTGTAATCCCAGCACTTTGGAGGGCCGAGGCGGGTGGATCATGAGGTCAGGAGATAGAGACCATCCTGGTTTACATGGTGAAACCCCGTCTCTACTTAAAATACAAAAAATTAGCCGGGCATGGTGGCAGCGCCTGTAGTCCCAGCTACTCGGGAGGCTGAGGCAGGAGAATGGTGTGAACTCAGGAGGCACAGCTTGCAGTGAGCCGAGATTGCGCCACTACACTCCAGCCTGGGCGACACGGCAAGACTCCAACTCAAAAAAAAAAAAATAAAAGTTATTTCTCAATTTGACTGATTACGGAACTTAGCGCTCTAATAGCATGGACAAATCCTAAATAGAAAAGTGATGCATTGACTAGAACACTGCATATTCTCAAGGCCAATCAAGCTGCTCATGACAAGGCTTACATTTAAATGTTTTTCTTGAAATGAACCATATGCAACTGCACAGTAATTATTAATGACAAAGAAAAGTGTTTCTCCAAATATATTTTTTCTTATACCCACTGAAATGAGAACATGAATAACCAGATTAAAACTTTTTTCTCCTCTGGCAAATTTGGGGTGAAGAAAATGGAACTTACACAGATTTCCTCTGAAAAAGTCACGCCTTGAAATCTGGCCAATTTGCTGTGCATCTCTAGCCCTAATATTATTATCATTTTTCCTGCAGGTCAGTGACTTATCATTAACTTGTCACTTTAAATGGAACTGTGTACACATCCCAGGAAGTAATCTGCGTCTATACCTGTATTATATTTCTGAAGAAAAGTTATTCAGGAGCAAAGTATGAAATGAATATGTTCAGAGGAAATCTATGATTGCTGTTTACCATTATTACCAAATGAAAATCTGAACATTTGTCAGAATCAGAAATATAAGAACTATAATCTCATTAAACATTTAGTAATGTGTGCTCATTCATAATTATGGATTTTCCTAATGATGAAAAATTTGGTGAATTTTAAAATTCCTTAAAAAAAGAGATAACTGTCAATATCCCAGTATCACTATTCCAGAAACCACAAGTTATTACAGTGCTGTGCTCCTGACAGTACAGTTTTGTCACCCCTGGAGGTTAACTCACCAGGAATCTCCAGCTCATTTCTCAGGAACTCCACTTTGAAGTCACTCATCCAGGGCGAACATTCTTTCAGATTCCCAGGGGGTTTTGAGTCTTTGTTCATTTTCAAAAGTAGCATGTTGGTAATGTCATTGAAGTCACTGAGCTTCATTCTCAGTAGCTTAGAACCTCCTTTCCCAAAATGTTTATCAAATTCTTTTCCAAAAGTCTGAAATTAATAAGAATTTACTATAAAGACTGATGTTTAGTTTGGACTGTGGAAAGGGCTCTAAGCTTATAAGTGTAATGAATGGAGTGCGCAATGATATATGTTTCTTCTCTGCTTTTAAGATGTATAGTCTTGGTTGGGCATGGTGGCTCATGCCTGTAATCCCAGCACTTTGGGAATCCAAGGTAGTAGCATTACTTGAGCCAAGGAGTTCGAGACCAACCTGGGCAACAAACATTAGCCAGGTGTGATGGCACGTGCATGTAGTTCCATCTACTCAGGAGGCTGAAGCGAGAGGATCGCTATTAAGCCCAGGAGTCTGAAGTGTCAGTGAACTATGATCATGCCACTGCACTACAGCCTAGGTGTCCGAGTGAGACTTTGTTTCTAAAAAAAAAAAATTACAGTTTTGCTTTCCTTGAATATTTCAATACTCTAAAACATCCAGAGTTTGCCTTTCGTTTCCTGTGTTCCATTATAAGTGACATGGTTAATGCCTGTAATTCCAGCACTTTGGGAGGTCGAGGCAGGTGGATCACTTGAGCTCAGGAGTTCAAGATGAGCCTGGCCAACATTGTGAAACCCCGTCTCCACTTAAAATACAAAAAATTAGCCAGGTGTGGTGGCTCATGCCTGTAATCCCAGCTACTCAGGAGGCTGAGGCAGGAGAATCGCTTGAACCCGGGAGGCAGAGGTTGCAGTGAGCC